TATATTTAATCTGCACCAATAAGATGCCAGGTGACGTTGGGTGACAAATCTAAAGTCACCAGGGTGAATTTCTGAGAGTTCAATATTTTCATCAACAATTTAGATATTTCTTAAAAAAAACACCCCTTAAATATTCAAAATTCAGAAATGTTTTTTTGACGGCTAAAACATTAAATGCAATACAATTTTCACCTACAATATACAGAGAAATTTGTTCAAGGTCAAAGAGGACATGGAAGGTGTTGACCCCTAGTATATGTAATGTGCATGTCGTGACACAGAGCAAGCACTTACGTATGCTGGGGGCCAACATTGAACAAGCCAACATCTACTGACCACGGAAAACTTGCAGGACAGTGCAAGATATCTTTATAAAGTTCTGATGTGTGTGCAATGTTAATGAAAAGTCGAAGCACTGTAAAGCTCACACTTTCCAATCATGAATGTAAGTGAATATATGATGGTCAAATGTACACTTATTCAAATTACTTAGCAGTTTATTAAGTCATTTCAAGATTCTTATATAATTTGAATTTCAAATGCTGTATATTGATGTTGCCTGCAGGAACAACCTGACTGAACTTGCCATTGTCTCCCAATATTTGTAGTGTGATAGTGTGTAAACAAGACTAGCACTTACAAATGCTGGGGAACGAAGGCAGTTATACCCTAGACACATGCCAATTTAAAAGCAGTTAAATTTAACAAGTTATTTCATTGGTTGAAACTTTAATGCTTTAAAGTGTAGTGTAAGTCATGTTACAAGTGATTCTGCATGTATAGCAGTAAAGTTGGATGACAGACTGTTTTTATGATGGATTAATATATATAAAAAACTTTATTTTTAAATGAATAACATCATAACATGTATTGGGTCACCTGCCTGACAGTGTGGGTTTTCTCTGGGTACTCTGGTTTTCCTCCCATATTAAGACCCCTACATGCTAATTTTTTCTTTGTCAAAAATAAAAAATATCTGACTATCTTCTTAGACGATAATAGTCTTAAATAGCAAAGAAGACATTCCTAGTACATTTACCCATAGTCCATTACTAAAAATATCAGATGTTACAAGAAGCAAGTTAGTGTTAATGGTAGCAGTGGGGTGGTGGTGGTGGTGGTGGGGAGTAATGTCTTGGGGAGTGGGGTGGGGGTGGTGTTCTTTACTTCACAGTGGGGTCTAGCCCACCCTGGGGCTGGGTTGATGTCTAGGGGGTAGTTTAGTACTTCAGAGACGGGTCACTATATCTGACAGTTACTTACATGAGAGACAGATAAGATTACTGCCTACAGACTAAACACAGACATAACAGATTATCTCTGCTGGTCCCTGGCATTAGATTCGGGCTTGTGTAACCTAGCAACAAGCACTTACTGATGCTGGGGATGGGCTGAGGTATGAACGACCATGTCTGAACCAGGTTCTTGTTCACATTCATAATCAAACAGATTCCACAAGTCGAGCAATCCCCATTCACATCAGTCATTTTCCTGTCTGTTTTGAGATATGTTTCAAACTTTGAATTGTAATTAGGAGAAAGTTAAATGTACCAGAAGCACAGAATTCTTAATAACATTTTTGTTTCTTTTCCCCTGCCTGAAGTTAAAACATGTAGTCAATTTTTGGATGCTAATTTGTTGCAAAATTTAATTATATTGGTTTATTTAAATGGTAAAATGAGGAATTAATTACTCTTTGTCAAAAAAAAAGCATTTCGAAAAAAAGATGTTGAAATGGAGTTGATTTTCAGTATAAATTTTAACAAAGCAAAACCACTGTATATATATTTTGTTCTGTGTAAACTAATGTATTAGTTATATTGTTTTGCTTACTCCATAAATATTTTAGGGGGCCTGGGAAACACTTAAACTTGATGGGATCCAACTTATTAATAACATTGAAAATGGTACCAAGTAAAATTAGAATATGTCTGTAACAACACCCCCTTGCCCTAGAAGTTGGTACACTAATGACAATGAATCTGTTGACAAATAGAAATCATAGTATTCTCATACTTGACTTTTTGTATAATCTTAGAAAATCTGTTAAGAAATGATGTTGTTTGGGTTGTGACAATGAATTTCATTGGGATGGACATGGGTAACACTATGCATCCTATCCTTTTTCTCCCCAGTTTAAAATAACATACTTTAATGTTTAAGGTGGGGGGGTGAGGGTGTGTTACTCTTTTTAAGAGAATGAGATCACAACATATCCCTCCCCTCCTCGGCAACCATTTTATTTATTTTTCAATTATCCCTAACAATATTTACCATGTTAACATCCCTGATCATAATGAGCCCAAGCTCAGATTTAGGTGAAACCTAGGTACAAATTTACATAGGGTTGTATTAAACATATATTATTTCCATATAAGGTAATATGAGGGAATATTCGGTTTAGTAATTATAAGTACTCATTTTATCCATGCCTAAGGGGTAACCTATAAGATGTAGAGGAATCTGAGAAGCTACATAGATCACAGTAACCCACCACTTTCCCAGGATGTGTTATGTGCTGGTGAGAAAGTCATACTAGCACTTACATATGCTGGGGATATAATGGGTACACAGCAACATGGTTTCCCAATAAAAGGTAATGTCTCTACAACCACATGGTATCCTAATAGAAGGTACTGTATCTACAACCACATGGTTTCCTCATAGAAGGTACTGTCTCTACAACCGCATGGTTTCCTCATAGAAGGTACTGTCTCAACAACCGCAGGGTTTCCTTATAGAAGGTACTGTCTCTACAACCACATGGTTTTCTCATAGAAGGTACTGTCTCTACAACCACATGGTTGCCCCTTAGAATGTACTGTCTCTACAACCACATGGTTTTCTCATAGAAGGTACTGTCTCTACAACCACATGGTATCCACATAGAAGGTACTGTCTCTACAACCACATGGTTTCCACATAGAAGGTACTGTCTCTACAACCACATGGTATCCACATAGAAGGTACTGTCTCTACAACCACATGGTTTCCCCATAGAAGGTACTGTCTCTACAACCACATGGTATCACAACTTTGTTTCAAGTCGGTCATAATACATGTATACCAAATCACAAATCCCTTCCTTCATTTACATATGATGTACTTTCACTGTGCCAAGTTACAAAAAATTCAACTAACAGCTAAGGAGTTGTGCTTAAAAGATTCCTGAAGCAGAAACTAAAGTTTCAAGGGCCAAACTCATGGAAAATAGGTAATTTCTTTCTTCATGCACATCTATACATGATATTCTTTCACTGCGTCAAGCTTACAAGGTTCAAGGACAGACACACAGACAGGCTTTTCCTATACACCCCGAAAAACTTGGTTTGCGAGGGGTATAATAAGCTCAAAGGACGAACACATAAGCTCAGACTCAAAGTAGGGGGGG